ACCATACATCCATCCACGATCCCTCTCCATTAAGTAAATTGTCTCTAAACATGGCAACATATTACGAATAATGTATAATTGCAACATCTATTATATATACAAATCAAATTCAAACACACAACATGCATATAACATTCATATAGATACAAAAATGTGTATATGCTTCCAAAGGGTCCTTATCACTCCAACCTAACCCATCCTTGAACATTTACTCTCACTAGTGAATGTATATCAGATTTCCAATTTTAAGGAAAATCCGGCAGTATTTCCCCCCAGTTCTCCAAGTACACGACGTAGGTAATTACTTATCCACATATGTACCCAGAGAACATGGTGATCCAGGAAATGCTAAGCCAAGATGTTCCTTAAAATCGAAAAAACTGACATACATTCACCACCTAAGTGAGAGTAAACGTTCAAGAACAGTCCCAACCGGGGACTATTCAAGACTTTCTCCTTATGAGAAAGCCTTGAACGGGTATCTAGGCATATGATGATACATGCAATCAATTAAAAACCAATGGTTTAATCACACATCATGATAGAAGATGCACTAAAGTTATATCACACACCATCTCCAAAAAATTGTGCTACCAAGAACTTATTTAAAGCACATAAAGTTATATATATATATATATATATATATATATATATATATATATATATATATATATACCTGAGTACCTATAAAGGCTCAACACTCTCAAATAGAAGGTCAATGCCAAGGTCTATGCTTCGCCCAAAAATTCCTGATAATCTTTTTTAGTGTAACCTATATAGAACACAAATAGAAAACCAGATTAAGGGAATAGATAAGAATGATATTAGTGAGCAATGCAAGAACAAGGACATTCAGAGTAAGATACCATACCAGGATGTTTTCCGCCCACTCTCCAAACTGATGATCTTACCCTAGAAGCCCTTGACACCCATTTCTTAGCCTGAAACACGCATATATATAGTGAGAAGCAACTCATAAAGAAAAGTATATTCAAACCCTAAACTCTAAACCCTTAACCCTAAACCCTAAACCCTAAACCCTCAACCCTAAACCCTAAACCCTAAACTCTCAACTTTGTTCTCTTAAATAAAAAGGACTAAATTATCCTATAAACAAAATAAAATTCTCAACTTTATTAGTGATGATAAATAAAGTTCTCATAACAATTTAGAAATATAGGTAAATGTAGCTTGTACTAAATACAATAACAACTTAAAAAGGCCTTACATTTGTGGAGGGGGAGCCTTATGCGTTCAATGGAGGGGGAGCTGAGTCTTGCGCGTATAAATGAACAAATATGGTTCATAAGAATGCAAGTTAGAAAGGTATATATAGAAACTATTTTCTATCCATGTCTTTGGCTAAAATTCAGCAATGAAAGCAGCAACAAGGTTGAGGGTAGTTGGTGCATTGCTAAAATTTCATTCAATTCATTCGAAGCCAGTTTGACAGACACGGTATCATTACAAACATCTGTCAAATTATAGTAATAAGATACAAGGGTATGTCATCTTTTCAATACCAAGGAACGTCTAACTATAAATAACTCTATTCAAATTCGAACATCACAGACCCAATTCATGCTAACACAAAAGACCAATTCTTGACAAACCCTAGCAATTACAAGAAACTTGTCAATATTAACTAATTTAAAGACCAATTCTTCAAAAACCAAAACAATGGAGGAGCCTATTACGACTTACCTAGTAATGAGGAGCGCTATAACAATGGAGGAGCTGCTACATACTTCAATAATGCAAGCATATATGGAGGGAGGGAGAAGAGAAGAGCTGAGTGCGTGCGTAGGGAGGCAAAAGCAAAAACATGAGGATGAAAGCAAAAACAGGGGAGTGCGTGCTTGAGGGAGGCAGAAGAATAAACCCCTTCAATGGAAGCTTCAATTCAATGGAGGAATGGTTTGGGGAGAGGGAAGGCGCACGTTTTTGGAGGTGAAAGAAGAACGTTTGCAGAGTCTTGCTGTTTGTATTCAAAAACCCGAATTTTTTTTTTAAATTGGCAACGGTTAACCGTTGCCAATCTACCCCTTTTAATTTATTTTATTTAAATTTTATCAATTGGCAACAGTTAACCGCTGCCAAATGTAACCAAATTTTTTTTTTTTTTTTTTAAAATGGCGCTCACAGCAAGTTGGCAACGGTTTTCATGAACCGTTGCCATAGGGGGGTTGCCTAATTCTTTTTTTCTACTAGTGAACTTTTGTTATGTGATCTACACCCTCCATTTCATTGACTAGACTACTTTTTTTTGGTTTTTAAACATAATAATTTTTATTCTTGTTTTTGTGTTTTCCTTTTTTTTTTTTTACCATCCTCAAATTCAGAGAAATACCATTCATGTGATTACATATACATTTCATATATCATAATTCATGAATAATAATTGAATTCAAAAGGGTAGAGGATGGTTTGTTGATTTTTTTTTTTCAATACTGTGTAATCTTAAATTTGCATCAGTGTTTAAAGATTATTTTTGCCCAATGATTACAATGTCTCACAATTACAAGCATTTAATATATATATTTTTCATTTTTATGAAAGAACTTGTTTTTTAATTAACTATAAATTAAAAATTATTTTTTCCCTACATATATGGGAAGTTTCTGTTTAAAAAAATAAAAATAAAAGTTGATAAATTTATCTCCTAAATTTAGGGTGGATTGGAGTATGAGATAATGGGGGTGTGAGATAATGGCAGGCTATTGGGCTGTGCAAACAAGCCCAATAGCACTTGCACAGCTCAATAGCATAGAGTCTCATGTTACTTGGGACCCCAAATCTAGAACGACTGTACTTAGTGTATAAAAATAATTAACCATGAATTCATGTAACAGATAACAAAGTGGATGAGATGGTTTATATTGCAACTCTTTGAGGGAGGTCTTGATTTGTATTTCCGTGTTCGACTCCCCTTCCTCCCCCCCCCCCTTACACACACCTTAATAATTTTAGGGGCCCCAAATTTTGGATATATGTATATTGGTTTCATATTAAAATTGAAAAATAAGGTTGGATTAACGGTTTGAGTGCAACATCCTGAAACAATGGCCAGAGGTTCAATATTCCTTGAACCAACAAATTTTAATTATTTTGGGAAGCAATGCTAGTGTCTGTGAGTCTGTCCAGATTCATTGTAAATCTCTTACAAAACCTCCTCTACTTCTCCGCCATTTTCTTATTTTCCCCTTTTTTCTCCTAAAAATTTTCAATCTCAACCCGAAATCTTTCTATCTTCCCCCTTTTTCTCCCAAAATTTTCAATCTACGTTTAATTCTTCTTCAATTTTCCATTACCCAAAATTAATCTTATGTTGACGAACATTATAATGTAATGAATTTATTTTATGAAATAAAAATTGGTTATTTAATATATTGAGTCTAATGATATTATCCAATTGTAGCCCCGACCCTGTAAAACAATACAATATTAATTTAACCTAATGTATATAATCCTGTAAAAAAAAAACGAAAAAAAAAGAAAAAAAAAACTAAAGTGTATATATATATATATATATATATATATATATATATATATTATTGTATAAGATTATTATTCAAATCAATGTATGATATAATATATTCAATTACTCTAAAGAAATGTTGCCTTTTCAGTTACAGTTTAGGGTTAGGGGTTTAGGGTTTGAGGGTTAGGGTTTAGAGTTTAGGATGAATAAACTCTTTATTGAGGATTTTACTCTTGAGTTAATCAACTCTTTAATGAGGATTTTTGGAATATGTAAAAGAATTCCAATTTGCATGAATGTATTATTTTTATAACTTTCTTACTTTTACATATTATTTATTTATGTCTTAATGAGATTATGCATACTCCGTACTATGTTTACGTTCTTCTCACATGCGAAATAATACGGATGTTCCTTGGAAAAAAAAATTAAATACGGGTATAAAAAATAATCTAAATATTATGTTCAAATATAAATAAATTTGTATTATGTATTTCCTTTGAAAATAATTCCGTATTTTTTATTTTTAAGAAAAATCCGTATAAAAATTAGTATTGTGTTAATTTTTATACAAAAATAATTTGTATATTGTATTTTTAAGAAAATTATGTATTGTGTATTTCCCTCAAAAAAATTAAAAAATTCCATAGTGTGTATTTATACAAATTTAAGAATTAATTGTGATACTTATTTTTTTTTTTTTTTTTTTTGAAGGGAAAGATAAAATATCATTAATTGAAAGCTATACGGCATCTACAATAAGCATTATAGAAAAATAAAATACCATCTAAATTAATCCAGTAAAAATCCTCTTTAAAGAAACTATGATGATGCGAAACTAGATCTGACGATGAAGTACAGTTCCCGATTGTTTGCTGAATTATGCAGCCTTCTATGAGGGAATCCATTTTCTTGACATAGTTTTGGGAGGAAAATTCATTACCTGACCATGTCGATCGCATTCTCAATTCCAACGCCAATTGCAAAATTGTACGAATAACAACCCATGAATCCAATCTTTCAAATAACACCCTAAAAATAAATTCCAATCTTCCATAAGGGAAGAGAAGAAATACAAACACCAAACTCTCACAAAAGGAGAGAACAAACCCAAAAATTGGGAAGAAAACTCTCATAAAGAGAGAGCAAGGAGAATTATTAATGGCTAAAATCAAAAAAACAAAGGAAATAAAGAAAGAAATGGGGCTTACCATCATCAAAGAGATGATGATGGTAGCCCCTTGCGGTTGCCAAAGATTTTAGGGTTTTTTTTAGAGAGGAAGAGAGAGAGAAATAATTGTGATACTTTATTTAAGGATAAGAATTTATTTTCGCATTTGAAATTTATTTATTAACATAATTGTAACAACTAGATTTAATATAATATCTTATAATATATTGCCCTAAAAAAAAGCCCTATAGTCACTACATTATAATATTTGTCTGTTAATATAGTCGATTGATAATCGTCAATAATTGTCCATAACCGACAACTATGTACGCTAGAATTTTTAATACGTTTAAAATGTCTGAATATTATATTAGTGTATGACATTGTTAATCGAACCTTTGAATTCATTGTTTAGAATCATGAACTTTAGTATTAAATACAAACATCAGAATAATTCTACCTAGTACGGAGTATTATGTTACCTTTAGCTTGTACCAACTATCAAACTTAAAAAATTAAGTCCCCAATATAACATTTCCTCAGCATCATCATCATATACGCAGACTCGGCATCTGTGGTTTGGATTCTTAGGGGAAACGGTGGCGAAGATGTCAGCCTCAGGTGAACAGTGGATAAAATTCGACAACTAGGTACGACTTTTGATTGGTGTATTATACACAATTTCCGAGGGACTGAGTTGAAAGGGATCATCTTCTCGCTAACACGGAAAATCATAGCTTATCGTCATTTAATTTTATTGTTTAGTTTGTTGGCGTATTAATAACCTCACGTCAAAAAAAAAAAAAAAATAAAAAAAAAAAAAAAAAAAAAAAAAAACATTGCCTCCGAATTAATCAGTATCCCCATCACATCTAGATCTCATAAATCAACAGGAGTCCAGGACTCCTATTAATCAGTCGTATCTCATAGAGTATCAAAAAATATCAATGCATACAATAACCTATTCCAAGTATCCGGAACTCCAGGAAGGCACCAATGTGTACAATCTGCATAATTCTTGAGATTATTATCATACTTTTCAGTAAGGGTATTTAGGTCTTTGAACCTGTACAAGGATGGATGTGCATCAATTCTGTACTCGGTCAACTTAGTTATGTTCAAGTACTTCACCTGTATTTTACTTATCAGGCTTAACACGTTCTCGACTACATTAACCATAGACTTTGGGAAAACCGGTACGTATGATTCATCCATTATGAGTTGGGTCTTGTTATAGCACCATTGATCATATTGTGGAAATTTGTGTGGTGCCGAAATGCTCCTAAACAACACTGTTGTTTTCTTTGAATCAACATTTTTCTCAATCCATCTTGCCCATGTTTTTAGGCCATGTGCATAAGCTAGCTCTATCGGCATACCCTTCATTAACTTTCCCTTGTATTCGAATAACTCCCATCTAGAAACAAAAAAATTATAGCATTGAGGTTAAATATCACACAAAGATGCATACACTACGTATATTGATTAGCAAACCAATGCTGCTTTAGTTATACAATTAAGTTGCATACTTATTAATGATATTCAATATTATTCATATGTGTGCTTGAAGATATATAGTGCAAAAGAGTTTGTTAAAAAGCTCATAAAGAAACGGCCAGAATATAAACTTCTATAGTCTTATGCATATGGCATGTAACCTAGCTAGCAATCCTAGCATGAGTCTGTTATACATTTGCTTATATATGCACTTGTAGTTTTTATGTAAAGAATTCAAGTTCGAGATGATAAATTTTTTACATTTGTTTATATAGGCGTTTGTAGTTTTTATGTATGGAATTTAACTTCGAGATAGATAAATTTAGATAGAAAATAAGATTACTCATAGTAAGAGGTATAATTATGCTATGCTCATGTTTACTCTTTAGACTTTGGCCTGAATTCTTTTTTTCATATTTACTGAACTTAAATCATAAGTAGTTGCTGAATTTAAATTGTTTTTACTAAACATCAATAATTCTACTGTATTTCAATATTTCTAGCTGATTAAGAGTTAGTTCCTGTTCACTTATCTGATGTTTAAAGAACCAAATTACTTTGGTTAAACTATTGTCAATTCATTGATACTATATAACTTTTGTTAAACTTAATTTATACTCGTACTTACTAAAATTAAACTATTTTTCTTGAACTTAAATTATTTATGTTAAAATTTTATTTTCCAAGACTGAGGCTATGTTTTTTTCATATCATTTTTGCTTACTAAAAATTTATTTTTAGTAAAAAGAATAACATTTGAATACTTTTTTAACCAATACTGTTATTGAAGAATGTTAACTAAAATTAAATTATATTTACTAATAATAAATAACTTTTTTGGATCCTAATCTTATAATTTCTTGCTAAATTTAATTTATTTTTAACATATAAAACTTATTTTATAGAAGTAAGGAGTTTACAGTCAAAGCTTTTATAGTTCAACATTAAAAAAAAAAAAAAAAAAATGTAATCATTTTGCAATTGCAGTGCATTTTCTTTGTGGCCGGGGTTATTTATTTAAGAGTTACTCAATTAGTCAAGTGTTATTTACTCTAGGGTTATTTGGTTGGTTAGTGTATTTTCCGTGTTACACCGTGTGGCCGACTAACACACAACAAAACACTTAACAGGTTACTCCTAACCGATTGAGTAACCCCTGACCAATTATTTCCTAATCAACCTCTCACTGACCGAGTAACCTCTGATCGAGTAACCCCCGACCAAGTAACCCCTGACCAAATAATCCCTAATCAAGTAACCTCTGATCAACCAAGTAACACCTAAATAAGTAACCTTTGAATAATAACCCTGGCCACAAGCCACATATAAAATTTATATTGCACTTGAGTTAGCAATTTTTATATTTTTAAAAGGATCCATTGAGGTAATATAATCTAGGTATGAAATATTATCAAGCAAAAATATGAAATTTCAATGCAAGTAATAATTATCCATACGCTTTAAATCTTCCGCGTTGGTCCCACCAATGCCCTGAGTTGAATACCATAATATCTGCTCCGATCCACTTCTTTGAATTAGTCGAAATATTATCAAGCACAAGAACCTTTTTCCCACTTTCATGGTTATCTTTGAGTTCAACGAGAAATGGACTCCAATAAAACTCTAGAGTGAAGTTATATTCCTATAATTAAACAACAAAAAACAGTGTTACTTCCATAAAATTCTTAAGACATTGATAATATCTTAGCTTATATATAAAATTCAGAATTTATTTTCCTCATTTATCTATATACGTACCTTTGCCTTCCATATTGTCTTGTAATTCCTTTTTTCCTGCACCTTGGCTGCCGTGGAAGGAACGGAGAAGTAGAGAAGGCAAGCAAGAGATTGCCACATGTTTCGATTTAGCGAATCGCCTACTAAGATCATCCTCTTGTTCCTTAGTCTTTCAAGCATATATGTTCCATTAAACCTAGAAATTTAGGGAAGATAATCATGTTTACAATGTTCTAAACGTACTTACGTAGTCTAATTTTTACATGTAGTCTTGATTTGTCAATTATGTTAGAAGATAGTTGAAATACTATATTAGCAATGCTAGTAGCTCAGCCTACTTGGATGTTTATAAATTATGCGATGTGATCATGTGGAGTGGTATATTAGGTAAGATTTATGTGGATTACGATAACTTGACGACAAAATTACATGATTAAGGGAATAAGCAAGCTCTAACACTTATTTTAATAGCTAGGATTTTCTTAATGTTTTTTTTTATTTAATTTTTTTTTTTTTTGACTCATTGGATTTTTTAATGTACATGTGAAAAAGAGTTGTCTAAAGTTAGGATAGGATCAATTGATTGCAAATGATTTGTAATTGGCTAGAACTGCACGAGATCCTCTTTATGTCAACTCTTCTATTTGAAAATTATGCAATGCTGATTAAGAAAACTACGCGATGTAAAATGATTTTAACAAAATACTCTACCTTGTCAAATAATAATTATTTCCTACTATGTATCCATTATTGATGGCATAGTTACACACCACAATCCCTACAATCATCGACAAATTCCCCACACAAATTACTCTTACGCCTTACTAATTACTCGTACTTTATAGCATCTCTCTCGATCTCTCTCTATGCATTATTACTCTTCTCTCTCTGCATTATCACTCTTGCTAATATATGTGTTAATCCCGATGATAAACTACGTAGCAACAATTGTGGAATAAATCATAAATGAATAATGATGTTAACTTGTTTAGCATGTAATGAGGACTACTTATCTTTTGGTGGGTAAGTGGATTGAAAATGGGTATTAAGAGATAGAGGGAGGAGAGAGTCCAGGTGGAGGTTAGGAAAGATAATTCAAGTAAGGACCTCGTATACGAGTGAAAATGTTGTCCCACTTAAATAAGTTTTTTTTAAAACGAATAAGCTTTTTTAAAACTCTAAGCAGTCCAACAACATACATTTATTTAGAAATAGGAGTATATACTTAATAAAAAACTAGAAATCTTAACCAAAAAGAATCCATCACAATGCTACTTGGGGTGATATGATGATGACAATCGAATTTTAACCTGTTCTACAATAGCAATCCTAATCTTGTTGAATAAAGTTTTACTCATTAGGTTATTAAATTATAAAGGAAAATTTGCCAAAAAAAAATCTTTTAAAAGCACCATTTTGCGAAAAAAAAAACCCTATTTTTAGCATTTTGTCAAAAGAAAACCTGATTGTAAATTTTTTTTTGTGGAAGAAAATCTAATGTCTCTAATTGCACTTAATTAGCCTCTAATTCTTTTAATTATCTTTTAACTCTCACTTAACCATTTAATAATTAAACTAATTTATAAATTAAACAAAAAAAAAAATCCACCACCCCACTCCCTTTCCCCCTCCCCTGGCAGGCGGCTGCAGCCCCCTCCGCCGCCACTTTCTCTCCCCTCCCTTCCAACTCCACCTCTCTCTCCACCAAACTCCTCAACCTTAAACTCTGCCATTACCAAACCTCCAAACCCTTCTTCTCCACCACCATTAAATCCTTCTCTTCTCTCACCCTTCCCGAAGATGAAAGCCAAAACCTATTGCAATTTGCTTGTAAATCACACTAGCATCACATACATACATCATCAAAGCCAAAACAAACATCAGTTGCAAGCAAGATGCACAAAATTGAAAACCCCCAAATCAATTTTTCTAGGATTTTGTGACAAAATAATCACAAATTTCACGCACATTATAAGATAAAATCGAAGTAAAAATACATTGATTGTGTGGGAAAACTTGATTTAAAGCTTCCAATAAGATCCTTGCAAACTTTGGTAGTGAGTTGAGAGTATTTGGGAGAGAAATGAGAGTAAGAAGTTCCACTACTAGAAAAAGGTCAATTTCCGACGGACACGAAAATCCGTCGGAAAAAACAAAATTTTCGATGGATTTAAATTTCGTCGAAAATTTCTGACGAATTTAGAATTGCCGTTGGAAATTTCCGACGGAATTTTAATCCATCGGAAAATATTTAGTTTCCGACGGATTTTCCATCGAAAAATAATTAATTTCCGACATATTTTGAATCCAAGGAGATTTTCGATTAAATTTAAACCCTTTCCGACGGAATTATGGTTTTTAAAAAATAAAAATAAAAAAAACACAAACCCTAATAAAAACGGAACTACCCCCCTCCCACTTTCATTTCTCATTTCTCTAACCTCTCCTTATTTCTCTCTCCGCCTCTCTTCTCTTTCTCTCTCCTCTCCTCTTTCCTCTTCTCTTTTCACGCTCCTTCTCTTCTCTCCTCTTCTTCTCTCTCACGCCCCTCTCCTCTTCTTCTCTTAGCTGATTTTTTCCATGGTGGGTAAAAGCCGTTAATGGTGATGCATGGTTTATAACACATTAATGATTTTTAAGGTCAAATTAGACCATGAAAATACTAGATCTAGAATTTCCATGGTCGAATTTGGCCTTAGTAAATCAAGTTCAAGGTGAAATTCGAAACTAATTCGATTGTTAAGGTACGTTTTACTATTTTTAATTTTTGTTTTTAAATTTTTTATTAAATTTTTGGGCTATGGTGGTTGGTTTGGTCGTTCATGATGATGGTTTTAGGTGGGTTGGATTGGGTGTGGGTTCGGTCAGAGTTTAGGTTAGGTGGGTCTGGGTTTGGGTTTGGTGGGTCTAGGTTAGGGTGCGGTGGTGGTGGTTGGTGGATCAGGGTTAGTATTCGGTTAGGGTTCGATGGTGGTGGTTGGTGAATTTGGGTTAGGGTCCAGTGTTTGTGGTGGTCCGTCTTGGTTTTAGGAGGGTTGTAGTTAGGTTAGTTAGGGTGCGGTGTTTGTGGTGGTCCGTCTTGGTTTTAGGAGGGTTGTGGTGGGTGGGTTTGGGTCGGTGTTAGGTTTAGGTGGGTTGTAGTGGGTGGGTCTGGGTCGTTTTAGGTGTAGGTAGGTTTTGGTGGGTGGATTTGGGTCAGTTTTTGGTGGGTTTTGGTTGTAGTGGGCCGGTTAGGGTGGTGGGTGGTGGTTGTGGGGAATATTTGAGGAGTTTTTGTAATTTTATTTGTTGCGATGGAGGCTAGTGGCCAGGGGTGGACGTGGTGGTTTAGCGGTGGGGGCTGGTGGTGGTATGGGGTGGTGCGGGCTTTTTTTTTTACGGGATTTTTTCGACGGAATTTTCGTCGGGAATTTTCGGAGTAATCATTTTCGTCGGCAACTTCCGACGGACTTTTCTAGGCCGGAAAACTTCTTCCGACGCATGAAATCCGTTGGAATGTTCTTGGAAATCGTGTTTCCGACCAAATTTCTGTCGGAAAAGGTCAATTTTCCTACAAACACCGTTACGATGCCACTTTCCGACGGAATTCCGTTGGAAACACAATTTCTGACGGAAAACAGGGTGTTTCCGACTGAATTTTTCCGTCGGAAATGACCTGTTTTCTAGTAATCTTCGAACGGAGGTGGTGGTCGCCGAAGTGGATAAGAGGGAAAATGAGGGTTGGCCGGCGGCCAGGTAGTTCGCCGAGGGTGGGGGACTGATGGGAAAAGGGGCTCCTGCTAGGTCAGAGGGAAGGGGAGGGGGTGGTTGGCTAGTGGTTGGAGGTGGCGATTTTTTTTATATATATAAATTAAAGTTCATTTTTTAGGTGGGTTAGAGAGCCCGTCAAAAAAAAAAGGTGGGTTAGAGATTAATTAGTGAAAATGAGATGAAATTAGAAAGTAATCAAGTAAATTAGAGGGTGATTAAGTAAAGAGGTTTCTTCTTGCAAAAAAAATGAACGTGGTGATTTTTTGTAACTAAAACACTTTTAAAAGGTTTTTTAGCAAAATGGTGCTTTTTAAAAAAAAATTCTGCAAATTTTCCAATTATGAACTATCGGTTTAATTTAATATTTTTTTTTAGCAAAGGAAATTAATAAAAAAAAATCATTTATCTACTTACATTTATGTAAATAAATCAACAAAATTCTAGTTAGCATAACATTTTCGTCCATAAATTAACATTTGTGGCCTCACATTGAATAAAAAAGTGTGGATTTATTATAAGAAAAATTGGCTTAAAATAATATCAAATATCAACAGTGTGTGCAAAATCATATGAATTCAACTATTTGCTATTAGCGATTGTGCTATATGTGCAAAATAGTATGCCGGTCACTGGAAAAGTATCGCAATGAATATTCCGTCTATATTTATTATTATTATTTTTTGTTATTAATTTTCTTTTTACCAAAATGCATATTATGTTAACAATTTCCTTTACAATACAATTCAAATTAATAATGCTCCACTCCTTTGTTTGGATTTTTTTTTTTTTTTGAATTGTTAATATGTATTTAAATATTATTTTTCAAAATTCCTATAATAATTTCTACTACTAGACAACAGTAAGTAGAGTATTTAAATGCATTATTATTTTAACAAAATTAGTTCAAAAATTGTTTAAAAAGTCCAAAAATTCCTCCACATTATTTTGGTTGGTGAATGCATTTAAATACCCTATTTACCATCGTGTGATAGTAGAAATTACTACAGGTATTTTGAAAAATTAACATTTAAATATATATTGACAATTAAAAATAAATAACTTAACAAAGGAACCGGTCATTTTTATTTTGGATTATAAAGGAAAGGAAAAATTGCATTAAATAATACCACCTTTCACCCGTCCGCTAAAAATAAGTCAACTTTTTATTATCTCTAAATAATACCACCTTTGGGGGGTGTCCGCTTTAAACAAGTTGTAACCTGTTGGTAACCTGATTAGTAGGTTATATGGACACGTGTCATCATATTATTGGTCTGAAAATATAATAATTTTTTTTAATGTTTTTAACTTTTTAAAATTATTATTATTATTATTTTTTAAAAAAAACCACCCAACCCCATCCCCCTCCCCCTCCCCCACGACCTAGCCACCACATCTCTCACCTTCCAGCCACCTCCTCTTCCCCTCCCCCACACGCAACGACTCCACCGACGACAGTACGGCCGGCGCCCAGCTCCACCACCACCGGCCGTACCACCCTTTTTCCCTTACCCCGACTTCGCTTGCCCTTGTATTTGAGTCATATCGGCAACCTAACCACCACCATTGAAGCTGAAAAACTTTAAAAGCTTGAAGAGACAACAATGGAGGAAACTCCATTGAAGCTCACATATAAGCTTGAGGACAAAATGGAAACATGCTCATTTCTTCAACAAAATGCATAAAATTGGTATCAAAACGCTCACATTACAATATACAATAGTTTGGTACCAAGAATTATGCAAGTAACATCACCAAATGAAAACCCCCACTTCGATTTTACTTAGGGTTCTTCACAAAAAAATTGCCTAATTCCCCTCCACTGGTATCGGCCCCCCTCCCCTTCCCCCACCCTGAATTGACCCCCCTCCCCTTCCCCCACCCAAAATAGCCACCCCTAACCCTTAAACACAAGCTCGACACCACCATAAACGAAACCCTAAATCCTGTTTAGGGTGGTTTCAGCTGGTGATTTAGGGTTAAAGGTGCCGGATTTTGGCGTTGTTGATGTGGGTGGCGGTGATGAGGGTGGCTGGTTTAATCGGTGGTGGGTGGGATTAGCGAGGGGACTGGATGTGGTGGTGTTGCTGATGGTGCTGCGTGAGGCTGAATTAGTGGTGTTGAGTGTGTTTTTGGTGGTGAGGCTATTGGGATTGGTGGCGGTTTGGTGCAACGGTGGAGATAGCAGATGTTGCTGGTAGTGGTTGATTGTGAAGGAGGATGCTAGGTTTTGTTGTTGCTGTTGAGACAAGGTGGGTGGAGGTTAATAAATCATAAGAATTTTTTAGAATATATTAATTGTTAATAAATTATAATTAAAGTTGTTATTAAGAGTTAATTACATTGTTAAATGAATTTATTAAAAAGAAAAAAAAAATTAATCGATTATTCAGGTTATAGATAAAATAACTTGTTTAAAGCGAACACCCCCCAAAGGTGGTATTATTTATTTAGAGATAATCAAAAGGTCGATTTGTTTTTAGTGGACGGGTGAAAAGTGGTATTATTTAATGCAATTTTTCCTAAAGGAAATTGTTAACATAATATGTATTTTGTAACACCCCGTATTTTCGAACAATTATTTTATGTGCATTTTAACCTATTAAACCTTATTTCTAACTAAAATCTCAATTTCTAAATTGAAGTGTTATTTTAATTATTGAAATCGTTATTTTGATTTAAGGGTCATTCCATGCTTTTGAAGCCCTAATTATAATATTTGACGAAGCAATTGAAAGTTATTATTTATAAGGTTTTATATATGAGTTTAAGTGTTAATCATTTCAATCATGTTTGACTTGTCTGAACTGTTATTAGCCTTAAAGGGTGATTCCTTAAGTTTAAGCGTCAATTCTATAAGCGTTACACTTATTATATGTTATTTTTGATATTTAACCTATTGCGATTGATACGGGCCATCATGGGTGATTGCTTGACTGAAATGTCAATTTGATGGGTATAAAAAAAATTCTAAGGTTGTTAAGACGTGTTACACTCGATCGTATCAATATCGATAAATAAAGTGGTATTGGGTGATCCCTTTAACTCGTTCATCAAATTGATAATATTTATAAACTATCCTTTAATTCTTATATTTATGAAACTCATTATAATGTCCTTTTATTAATTAGGTCATTATAAATGAATAATATTATTGATTTCGCATTTCGTCTTTTATGTCACTTTTCTGTATATATATATATATATATATATATATATATATAATGAAAGTATCGTTTTCATTATTATTATATTAATATTGTCATTTGCATCATTATGAATATTACGTAGTATTTTTTTTTTTTATTTTATTTTAAGCGCGTCTGAAACTGCTTCTCATTTTACTTCTCCTCCTTGGTTTTTTTTTGGACCAACTGGAATTAGTTCGGGTTTTTGGTTTAAGCTTAGTGGTGTACACCCAAATATTGTTGGGTAAACTTGTTTAATTGCTTCTTTAAGCCCGTCTTCCTATGCTAATTGTGGATCCTTAATTACCCATTTGGTTCGTTAATCTAGGATTTGCAAGGAAGCCTTTTATTTTGAGCCCATTCCTCTCCTTCTCTTGCACGGATGCTAGGCTAAAGTGGCTGCTCAAATTCTTGACTTAGTAACCTCCCTAATTTGTTTGGGGTCGGAGTGTTAAAATTGGTATCAGAGCAAACGGTCCAAAAACTCTCACCGAGTTGTTACAAATTCTTGAGAAATATGTATGTAGTTGATGAATAATCAACAAACTTGATTTTGTGAAGCCTTGACCTTAGTGAGGGTTACTTGGGTGGGAAGAAAGGGTGCGTCTCTATTTGCTAAATGTTAGGTAGACAATGTCGTCTTCACAATTTGTGTACTTGTCATAGTATCTATGGTTCTCTAAGTTGTTTCCAAGTTTCGAGGACGAAACTTTATAGGGAGGGGTGATTGTAACACCCCGTATTTTCGAACCATTATTTTATGTGCATTTTAACCTATTAAACATAGTTTCTAAATAAAATCTCAATTTCTAAATTGAAGTGTGATTTAAATTATTAAAATCGTTATTTTGATTTAAGGATCATTCCAAGCTTTTGAAACTCTAATTATAATATTTGACGAAGCAATTCAAAGTTATCATTTAATAAGGTTTTATATATGAGTTTAAGTTTTCATCATTTCAATCATGTTTGACTTGTCTGAACTAATATTAGCCTTAAAGGGTAATTCCTTAAGCTTAAGCGTCAATTCTATAAGCTTTACACTTATTATATGTAATTTCGATATTTAACCTATTGGATTGATACGGGCCATCATGGGTGATTCCTTGACTGAAGTGTCAATTTGATAGGTATAAAAATAATTCTAAGGTTTTTAAGACGTGTTACATTCGATCGTATCAATATCGATAAATAAAGTGATATTGGGTGATCCCTTCAACTCGTTTATCAAATTGATATTATTTATAAACTATCCTTTAATTTTTATATTTATAAAACTCATTATAATGTCCTTTTATTAATTAGGTCATTATAAATGAATAATATTATTGGTTTCGCATTTCGTCTACTTTTCTGTAAATATGAACCTTATATATATTTTGTATCATTAATGAATTAAAGTATCGTTTTCAGTTTTAATTATTATTATTATTATTATTATTATTATTATTATTGTCGTCGTCATTTGCATCATTATGATTATTACGTAGTATTTTATTTATTTACTTTAAGCGCGTTTGAAACTGCTTCTCATTTTACTTCTCCTCCTTGGTTCTTCTTGGACCAACTAGAATTAGTTCGGGTTTTTGGTTTAAGCTTAGTGGTGTACGCTCAAATATGGTTGGGTAAACTTGTTTAGTTGCTTCTTTAAGCCCATCTTCCTAAGCTAATCGTGGATCCTTAATTAGTCCATTTGGTTCCTTAATCAAAGATTTGCAAGGAAGCCTTTTTGAACCCATTCCTCTCCTTCTCTTGCACGGATGCTAGGCTAAAGTGGCTGCTCAAATTCTTGACTTAGTAATCTCTCTAATTTGTTTGGGGTCGGGGTGTGACATATTTTTAAAAGAGAAGAGAAAGTTAATAAAAAAATTAAAATAGTAATAAGTTAAGATGGAATATTCCTCGAAATATTTTTTCAGTGACCGGCGTACTATTTTGCACATATAGTACAAAAGGTGGTGCCGCCAATAGCAAATAGTTGAGTTCGTATGATTTTGCTCACGCCGTTGATAGTTGGTATTATTATAAGCCAATTTTCCTTTATAAAATTCCAATTAACATGGCGTTTTTTTTTTATCATGATGATAACTTGTATTTTCCCATGTTATGCCCTATTTAAGGATTAATTTGACTAAGGACGAATACAAATGTTCCACTGTAGTTTTAGTAATAAATACTCCGTAAGATGCACAAATTGATATAGTGTATAAAAGAATCTTGAGTTTCAACCGTTGAAACTCAGGATTGACTTATATACTCTATCATTAATTTAACTTTAGCCGTCTTAAAGAAATAATTTTATAATTTATCTATTCTCTATTTACTCCAATTAAAAACTTTTGTATATATCTGATGTACAGTAATATAATTGTACACCAAGGTAATTTTTGTTGAATTTAGGGTAACTTTTACATATTTTTGGGTAACTTTTATCAATAAAGAATTAATAACTTTAATTTATATCAAGGTAACTTATATATACTGGGTCGCTTTCATTCGTTACAGGGTAACTTTTGATTATTTTAAGGTAACGTTGTAGCTGGGGTACAATACTTTATTGTAAATCCAATTTTTTTAAATGTTTATGTACTCCAATAATATACAACCTATGTGTAATTATTTATGAATACAAAAACTATAATACAACGTAAGTTATTACAAAATCCATAAAAAGTGGGTAGTCATTTGCAAGGGCAGCCAAATAATATAATTAGCTATAGGTAGATTTTGCTATGTTTCTCTTTTAACTAAAAACTATCAAAATAAAAACCAAACTATACTTACAATGGTATATCACAATCACGAGCTTGCCATCTCCATTTTTGGTACTCCAAATCCGGCCTCCCGTTATTTTTGCAGCTCATCTTCTCCTCGACGAATGGACACCTTACTGATTCATAGCTAGGAATTTCTTCAGGGTTATAAACCCATCTCCCCTCAAACATATTGCACTTCTTTCGGCTTTCGGTTTTCATCTTTTCCATATCATTAAGGGTGAAGTTCGAAGGGTTAATCGAAATAATTGAAGGAATTGATTTGAAACGAGTTACCATATCATTTGTAGCTGATGAATAATAACTCATAATTTGTTGAGCATTGTCAACATATAGAAAAAAGACTAGGAACCCTATTAAGATTACAAGTAAATAGAGTTTCCATGTATACAAAATGTAGGGTTTGGATTCCATTACTTAGAACATTAAAATGTTACGTTTTTGGTTAGGCTAAATGTGTTAGCAGAGTTCTATTATTGGTATGTGTATATATATATATAGTATCAGAAATAATTCTATAATTGGTAATATATAGATAGAATAGTAGGTCAACTTTGTATTTTAGGTCTAGATATTAAATGATATGACACATGCAAATGCATGTGGTTAGTAATATAGCAAGTGCTAAATATTCAACATATTATCTTAATTATCTGTCTTGAAACCTACTTCAATACTTTTGAAAAATGATTAGATTAATTCCTACTTGCTACTATATACCAAGATCTTACAAATAATTTGTTAGAAATATAAATTATAAAAATGAAACTTATGGTCTTATTGGTACATAAATTATTTTACGTGGAACGTTTGAGTTGAGCGAAAGAAAAGTACAGCTCACTTCATTAATTTCACTTCATATCTCAATTTGCAGTGTAAGTGGATTACTAGAAAATGTAGAAGTTTAAATTTATTGTTATAATAGCAAGTAGGGAATATAAGATTAATAAGAATCGTATTACTAGATACATGCAACCAAATTGTAACCAAATTGTTCAAATAAATTTTTAAGTATAGATCAAACCTTCTAGGAAGGATCCCTCATTTAATTTGCTAGTACACACTAACGAATTGAAGTCAAAATAGGCCATACTAGATAGGACAGGCGATACTAGATAGAGACGAGGGGCTAAGTCTTGTGTATAACGGGTGTACGTTAATTTTATTGTAAAACGGTCAATTTAAACGTAACTTTAACTATTTTTATGGTAATTTTAACCACTTAAAGGGTAACTTTAATTTGTCGTTGATTTGAATTTTATTTTAATGTGTAATTTCTTATTGATACGTGATTACATACTATAAAGACTAATATGATTAATCTAATACATTATAAGTTTTTTTGAAGATTAAATTTATTAATAGAAAACTAATAACTTTTGCAATATAAAGGGTGATTTTAACTACTTCTAGCATAATTTTAACTTATTTTACAATAAATTAACATACACCAGGCTGCCTATTTGGAGAATCTGTGCTCCAAAAGATACTATACCTTTATTCCAAACTAGAGCCCTATTTATCTTTGTATTTGTATTAATTTGATTTGCCAATATCTATTTGGTAATGGTTCACTATTTTGTTTCTTTTAATTACATTTTTTCTCCGTGCTATTAAAATTTAGAACCTTACATACATACACTCTCTCTCACTTATTTTTAAAACAACCCATAATTTTTTGGAAAATTTAACAAGTATGTACCAATCTTTGCTCCGTTCTTCCAAAATGCACCAACCATTAAATCTGCTTAAAATAAACCCAAGTTTGTAATTTTTCTCGCTTCGTAAACCTAAATGACCTATGACCTGAACAACCAGTCGTTTTATTTTTTTTCTTTAATTATTTTTTAAAATTTACAAAATTAAATAAAAAAATTAAAAAAAAAAAACACTCAAACCTCCCCCAAGGCCCCAACCCCACTGCTAGCCCCTCTTCACCCCACCCCACTGCTACCAACCACTCCCTCCCCCCCTTGCCGGCAGTCGGCACCCAACAACCACAACCACTTCAGCCAGCGGGTGGTTGTTGTTGTTATTATTGTTGTTTGTTTGTGTTACATTTATGAAAGGGAATCACTCTAACAACAACCACCACTTCAATCTATCATTCACCCAACCACCACCACTTTTGCCACCACCCTCTTCACCACATACCGTCGTCGCCCCTCCCAACGACCGCCAACCGCCGACACCACTTCCCCTCCTGCCAAATACCGCCGTTACTCTTCTCTCTCTCTCTCTCTGTGCTCTCTCTTATTTCTAAGTGTTGTTAGATATAGTTTCTTGGTTGCTTTTGTGATTAATTGTTGTTAGATCTAGTCTTTTTGAGTGTTTGTGAGTTATTTATTGGGGGTGGCTAGTGGTGTTTATGGAGATAGTTAGGATTTTTTTTGGTTATTTTCGTGGTGGATGTGGTGGTTTTTAAGGGTGATAGGTAGTGTAAGTAATGGGTGTGGGTTATTTTTAAGGAGTGTTGAGTGGTTTCATGGAGGGTGGGGGAAAGGGATGGAGGGAGGGGTGGTGGTCACTGGCGCCAGGAAAATGGGTTGGGTGCCAGCCACCGGTCGAGGACGGGATGGCGATGGGGAGGAAGGACCGGCAGTGGTAAGGAAAGAGATTTTTTCTTTAATTATCAAAATTTTAAAATGAAAAAAAAATAATTCATTTAAATTATAAGAATTTTTTTTAATATAATAAAACGATGAGGAGATGACACGTGGATTGCAACCTGATATAACTGGTCAACTTACTAGCTTGGTTTAATGTGGGAGAAAAATTAAAAACTTAGGTTTATTTTGGGCAAATTTAAAGGTTGGTGCATTTTCAGATAACGGAGCAAATGCTGGTTTGTTGTTGTTAAATTTTCCTATGTTTTTTTTTATCTTACCTACTTGTTTTTGGGGACACTCCCCTTACAAGTGAAGGAGCTCGATGCTTGGTTTTGGGGTATAAGGACAAGTGTGGCACATTTGAGAAGAAACAAGTCATGGGACTAGGAATGATGGGGCTAGAATTGGACTTGGTGTAATTCTTGATGCGAGGTTGTCAAAAGGTCTGTCGGAAGAATGATAGGTTAATAAGGGTGAAGTTGCTATGTGGCAAGGAAAGTTTAATGTTATTAGTGCTTATGCTCTCCAAGTTGGTTTAGATGTACAGGAGAAACGATAATTTTGGGAGGATTAAGATGAGGTGGTATAGGGTGTCCCCTACATAGAGAGATTATATATTAATATTGAAGGTCATTTTAATTAAATAGGCATGGTGAGGTAAGTCTAGATGGCTTTGATAGGGTTCATGGAGGCTTTGGGTATGGGCAAAGGGACACAGGTGGTGTGGCTATTATGAACTTTTTCCAATCATATGACTTAATTTTGGCTAATACTTGGTTTAAGAAGCAAGATTCTCACTTGATAACTTTCCGGATTAGAGCAAATGCAACTCAAATGGACTTCAATTCTTGCTTACAAACAGTGTTGTCTCGGACATTTACGTGGGCTGGAGCTAAAACTAGAAAAGGGGCCCTTAAATATATAGACATTTTTCATAAATAATACATCGACAATATATTTCATGAATTTTATGCTATTTTTGTTTCGTATTAATTGTAACATTTGCCAAAAATTAATGCATATTTACTACTATTAGCAACAAGTTTTTGCTTTCCTTTAAGTTGTCATTTATCTCTCTTATCTTCCTATATTTCTTTTTTCATTTAACATTGATCACATACAATTTTTCCCAAGAAGTCTATGTATCTCACCAAAGTGCAAATTGTAGAAAAAGGAGGTAGTATTAAAAAACGAAATTTAAAAAAAAAAAAAAAAGGTTTGCCAGAATTAAATGATAGTCACTTGAGATTTGGCTAATTCTTCTTTCTAATATTTCTTTTTCACACTTTATTTGTACTCTTAATTTTCATAATAAAAATCAAAGTTACGAAAGTTTAATAGTATACTAAAGAATCTTATGGGACATTTTTAAAAAAAAAAAATAGATGTACTTATGAATTTTTAATATTTTTTTTAATGCAGAAGAGGATCTAAAGATCTGAAACAAAACACACTTCTCAATTTTTACTTTGTTTTATTGTTTACATTTCTTTTTATAAATTAGACTATTATTGATAACGAGAAATAAAAAAAGATGTGGGGCCCCTCAAAATGGGGGCCCTGAGGCCTAAGCCATTGCCCAAATTGCTCATGCTAAGATCTGGCCGTGCTTACAAAGAGCATGGATAGATAAAGTTGTATAAATTACAAGATCATCTTAGGGGAAAATGGGGTAACCTAACACCGTTTTTTAGTTATGACATTCGTTTGAAAGAGAATATGAAGAAAAAGGGATGACAAGAAGAGCCTATGATAAGATGGTGGACGTTTAGGGATGTAAATGCTAAGGGTTTTATAGGAAAAATTAATCAAAGAGGCAAATTGGGATTGGAAAGGTGAATCCGAACGCGACTTGGTTACGAATGAAGAATTGCTTCTTGAGAGTGGCAAAAAAGGTCTTAGGGGAATCAAGGGGAGAACTTCGGTGCAGAGAGATATTTCGTGGTGGAATGAAGAGGTCAAATCACTAATTAAGCAAAAAAGGGATTGCTATCAAGCCTTGGGAATATGTGGGAATTAAATGACAAAATCTTTCAGCGTGTAAGGAGGCTAAGAGTAATGCAAAGGCAGTTGTTCGCCAACCGTAAGAAACTTATTAGGAGGTTTATGAAAAGCTTGATTCTAAGGAGAAAGAAAAGGTCATTTATAATAAGATGGCGAAGAGAAGACAAAAGATGAGGAAAGATATTGGCATGGTAAAGTGTGTTAAGATAAGAACCAAATTGTTTTGGTAAATGACGAGGAACCCCTTCAATGATTTCTTTAATGGTAATCAAGGAGTTGTGACAGGTTATACTTTTGTGAGTGATGAAGAATTAAATCAACGTGGTGTATATGCGAAAGATTAGGAGAGTAGAGGTAGATATTGCAATGGAAGATGAAGCCTAAGAGGGCAGTTAGCCTTGATAGTATACTAATAGAAGCGTGGATAATATTGGTATTGATTGGTTAACAGATTTCTTTAAGAAGATATAGTGGGCTACAAGGATCCCGCAAGATTAAAGGAAGAGCACCTTGGTCCTGGTCTATAAAAACAAAGCAGACGCTCAAGATTATTGTTCTAACTATCGAGGGATCAAGCTTATGACGAGCTATACTATGAAGTTGTGGGAAAAGTTTAATTTATTGAACATAAGTTGAAGGCATGCACAAGCATATCGGATAACCAATTTAGTTTTATGCCCAGGAGATATAATTAGGAAACAATCCATATAATAGGACAAATGGTAGAGTTTTATAGGGTAAAGAAGAAGGATCTCAATATGGTTTTTATAGATTTAAAGAAGGCCTATGACAAGGTGCCAAGAGAGGTATTTTGGTGGGTAATGTTGAAGAAAGGTATTCTACGAAGGTACG